CTGTTTACTGTCTCCTTGACAGATATCCAAGAATGGATCAAAATATTGGAAAGGCGCTTCATAAGTGTCATTTAAACAAACTCTATATATTCTACATTGTTTAGCATTAAGCTTTACCAGCCTTAGTGTATCTCGCAGAGGTATAACTGTCAACTCGACAAAACCAATTATGCTTTTTCTTTGAAAACTTATTCCTGTTAAACTTAATATTTGATGAGCTGTAATATATCAAGTACATTGCAATGCATTAATTATGTCAATAAAAATAAAGACATACAACTTAATACATAAATTGGTACATAATTTAACTTCTAGAACATAACCTATAAAAAATATAATTCTTTTATTCCCCGACGACATGTAAGATATGCATTATTTTCTGTTAGATGACTATAATTAATAGTATAAAACAATAGTATAAAATTCCAATGAATATTAATAAAAATTAATTTGGAAACAATTGTCAAAAATATAACCTGGAAAAGACGATTATTAAACAAAGATGCATCCGTTATTCTTACCTAACTTATAGGGACGACTGTTATCACCTGTTTTTTCTTTCTTCATGTTTCTATTTATTTATATATCACTTTTATAGCCAAAGAAAAAGACATCGAAATACACAGAACTCCATACCATAATACACTATACATTAATAGGTTATAGACCTGTTTTGATCTGCTTTTTATTCCTGCATTAGAATTTTCTTTCTCGTTTTCGTTAAATATCCAATCGTGTATATTTTTTCACTTTAAAATTCTTTAAAAAATATACTAGTTCATTTATAGAAAACAGATCTCAAGTAGTGCGTACATACAGTACTGTACATACAAGTGATACATTGCATGCACATGTATGAATGTGTTGGTGTATATATACAAGTGACTGTAGGTACGTTTCGTTCCTTCCTTGTTGTTCATCGCATATTAAAGAAAGATAAAATGATACGTCATGCGCATCATGCGTGAAATAGAACGCACCCTGCGTCCCTTCTATTATAGATTGTTCGCTGCGTTTTGGAAGTCAATTGTTATCTTGAAATGAGGTGAAAATTGTAAAAATGAGAAAATAATTTTCACTTCGAGAAATAAATAATGAACTTCATGTGATTCGTGATGAGTGAAGGGAATATTCCAGATATATACGTATAATATATTACACGCAGTGCATTCGGTTTGTATACTTTCATGCTTTTAGCGCTTCTACTCTTGCTTCTACTTTGTCTAATGAACAATTAGAACAGAATGATAATTATAAGCGCTTAAAGCGTGTGAGTGTCCAAACATAGCCTAATTAAGTGACCATTAATCTGATTAATCAAAAAGATATGATTTACCTATATAAACTTTTTAAAAATATTATTTTTCTTCGTTATTGCCACATGTTATGAATATTTTTTTATTTTTTAAAAATATTTTCGTAATATCCCGATAAAATATTTTTCATGCATGAATACGTATAAATATGTATAAACACGCATAAACATGTATAATTATATATGAAATATGTCCATACATCTTTCTTTCTTTTGTAAAATGACTTTTTAGTGTAATAGAAATAATAATATTAATAATATTAATATGAAAACATAAAAAATAATTAAAGAGATAATTTTCGCATTGTTTGTTTTAGAAAAAAACAAGAAAAAATGTAAAAGAAATTGCGCATAATTTTATGTATAATGATACATAATAATTTTTCTTTAAACTTGATTTTTTTCTAAAACAAATAAAATTATCTTTTTAATTATTTTTAAT